GGGGGGGGGAGAGATTGGAAAGGGTAATGGAGAAAGAATGAAGGAGGGAGGAAATAGAGAGAGGGGGAGGGAGGTGTGAGAGATATAGAGAGAAAAAGAGAGGGAGGGGGGGGGGAGGAAAAGAAAGAAACTAGGAAGGGAGGGAGGGACCAGGTGAGATAGAGAGGGGAAGCATTTAGAACTGTGCACCTTGGATACCTGCAATTTTTGCATTTCAGACATTTGGCTAAACTTTGCTGGAGAGAACCATCCTCACACAGTTGATCAGGGTAGTTACTTCTTTAATGTTTTAATAATTTCAGTAAAATTTTTTTCCAGATTGGCAAAAGTGGGAATATCCCTGCAGGAACCACAGTCGATGTCGGCATCACTCATCCCACGGAGTTTGACTTCTATCTATGCAGTCATGCAGGCATCCAGGTATATCTTTATATCCCCCTTGCCAAGTATGTTTTGTACCCTTTATATGCCTCCCACCATCAACACCATATATTGTTTCTACCTTTTACACACCCCTTCCCATATACCGCCTTTAAGTATATGCTTTGAAATAAGGAATGAAGCCTGACAGTATTTCAGAGTGCATGTGGTACGAAAAAGTTGGTAATGTAGATATTTTAATGGATTTTAAAAGATACAGTACAAATTTCCAAGCAGAAGGTATCATCTTATCTCAAGTCAAAATTTTTGAATCGTAAAAGTAAAACCATAGAAAATTATGTCTTATCACTGCTGGAGTGGTGTGTTTGTCCATAGAAAAGCTACTTCTGTAAAAAGTAATAATTTTGTTTTCCCACAGGGCACCAGCCGGCCCTCCCACTATCACGTGCTATGGGATGACAATCGTTTCACGGCCGATGACCTCCAGATCCTGACTTACCAACTGTGCCACACGTACGTGCGCTGCACGCGCAGCGTGTCCATCCCAGCTCCGGCCTACTATGCACATCTCGTTGCCTTCCGCGCGCGCTACCACCTCGTTGAGAAGGACCACGATAGGTGAGTTAGTTGTGCACGGGAGTTCTTGAAGAAAGTTCAGTGAACGAGACGAAGTTCTTATCAGTTTATCATGTAATTTGTCGTTCTCTTTCACTTTGAAGCAGAAGAGTGATTGCAATCCCTTTTTTAATTCTGTTGTATTATATTGTTACTCCAAGGGGGTAGGGGTGAAGGGAGAGGGTAGCAGAGATGAAAGAGAGCTTATAGATCTGAATGGGAATTTGCAATTAAATTAAGGCTTCTTCAAGCTGGGACTGAGACTATTTTTTGATAAATTGATTTGAACATTTTTTTTTTTTTACTTTTTTCTTAATAGGAAGATTGAGTAATGAGAGAAATTGAATGTGTTAGGCATTGATTTTACTTACTGAAAAGATGCGTACAACTTTGGCAGAATGTTGTGTTGGTGAAGATATTGATAAAAATAGTAATAAAAATGATCAGTAATACATATTAGGATAATACATATATAATGAAAGGCATGAGATTTTTGTATTTCTCTTATTATGTTGCTATTTAGAGAGTACACGTATATATATATATATATATATCTATATCGAGGTTTATGAATTACATAATAATTAAAGGAAAAACGGGGAGTTTATGGCACGCACGTGGTGTTATTAGGGTGATGACGGACTCTGTTGAGCTCTTGAACCCCTTGGTGTTTTGCAACGCCCTCTTTGAATGTGTCACCCCTACCCCTCCATTTCATACTAGTTTTAAGGCAAGTTCACGGGCTGAGCCAAGCAGACTGAACATATAATATAGTATGATGTCAGTATTTGGCCTTCTGTGTTTGAAGCTCGGTATTGAGCAATGTGGCTGTCTGTATGCATCTGATGTTTTTGATTTATGGTCTAGATTGGTCTGGCCGTGAACTTGCTCTGGTACATGTGAACAAATGGAAAAAAAAGTCATTAGATTTTTTATTGAAAATGATCTCAAGTCTAAGAAACTACCCATTAATTTTTTTTTTTTTTTTTTTTTTGATAAGTATTTGATGCCATCCATGTTTTACCACATTGTTTTAGATTGAGAGACACTGATCACTTTCTTTTGTCCGTCGTTTGATGTAAATTTAATAGTATTATCCAAAATATTTTGTTTAATTTTAATTTATTTATGTTACATGTATCAGTGAATTTAGTGATTGGAGTTGTGTTTCAAGTCAAGTTGGTTCTGCCTAACTTGCTGCAATCCACTGCAGCAGGCTTTTTGATTGTGGTGACTTCTCAGAAAGCCTTTGCAGTGGCGGATACTGTAATACCATGATGGCGGCACTAGGTGGGACATTGGAGGGATTAGATGTGCTGCCTCTAGGGGGTTTATCAGTTAGAATATTAAGCATAATGGTGGCAGCGGGTGGGATGGCAGGGATTGGATTGGCGGCCTATGGTGGGTTAATCATAATAAGATACATGAGACAGTAAAACATAATGGTGGCAGTGGGTGGAATGTCTGGGATCAGAGGGGCGGCCTGTGATGGGTTAATCATAATCAAATATATTAGACAGTAAAACATATTGGTGGCAGCGGGCGGGATGACTGGGATTAGATGGGCGGCCTACGGTGGGTTAATCATAATAAGATATATTAGACAGTAAAACATTATGGTGGCAGCGGGTGGGATGATGGGGATTAGATTGTCTGTCTATGGTGAGTTAATCATAATCAGACTTCTTGACTTGAAACACGACTAAATGAACAAGTGGCATTTTAAGAAAGTGAATCTTGCCTTTAATTGCTACATTGTCAACAAAAACATACATAAACATTATCATTATTGATAAAAAAGTGAATAATTTCAACAGGCTAAACATAATTTTACTTGTGGGGCATGACATTTAGTCTGTTTAGAAATTATTTACTTTTTTAACTTCACTACACTAGACCTACATCGCCATATTATCATTATTGTCACATATTGAGTCATTTCATTGATACATCAATGTCATTGTTGCTGAAGCCTTGTTCTGTTGTTTCTTTTCCCTATAAAGCGACCCTGCCACCTCAAGCAGTTACACGTAAGTACTAATTTTCATGACACTAAACAACAGCCAATAAAAAAGTTTTTGTTTATGATTCCAAATACACTGAGAGGCATTTGTGTGTAATGTGTTAAAAAAAGGGGAGAGGCTAGGCAAATTTCTAATAATTTGTTTATATCCGTTTTACTAATTGTGGAAAGAAATTAATGAGAGTGGTATGATCAGTTGATACCACTCTAGATTTATAAAACTTTTAAAAAAATTATTCTAGATTAACCACAAAACTTAACATCAGAAATATCCAATCCTGATTTTTGCAGAAAATATTTTGATAAATGCTAGTTTATTTTTTTAGAATTTAAAGAAAAAGGGGTGTTTGATGGGTATTTATGGTATTTGACCAACAGGCCTCTGTCTCGTAGTATCTTGGAATCTTTTATGTGGTTTGTTTTCCTTCATACTTAATCCTTCCACTGCCAGACGTTCAATTTCACTGGGTGTGGTGGATGAAGGGTTAAGTAAACCCCTCTTCTTCGAGTTCTGATGCAAACTTGTGTGACTATCTTAATCAGCCTGACCTTGAGTAATGTTGTGTTGTTGGAGTCTACACTTATAAAAAAAGGCACTTTGCTAGTTTGACCCTTCTGTGGTATTTATCACCTACTGTTCGATTTAATCTTACTGAAATTATTTTAGAGCTAACTCGATCCCATTTATGACCAACATGAATTTTCTTTAAGGCATAGTGCTAATGGAAAGCCAGCTTGGAACCTGTTTGCCTGTCTTCCCCACATATAAGNGACTCCCCCCATCCCCACCCCCCACCCCCCACCCCCCACCCCTATAACACCCACCCTAATACAGTCCCATTTAAGACCTTATTTAATCCCATTTCATTATTCTCTCCATACAATTTAAGCCCTGCTACATCCATTTAAGACCAGTTATAAATATTTAAGTCCTGCTTTATCCATTTAAGACCAGTCGTGTACATTTAGGGACTGTTCACATGGAAAGTCTCTTTTCTAAAAATCTATTTTCTATTCGCGGTATCTTGTGATCACAGTCTGTGCCCTGAATATCCCGCGGCGTAATTACTTGCAGCGCGAGCCAGTTACAGAATCTCCTCCAAGCGCAGCAGAGAATTAATTACAGCTTTGGAAGTAACTGGCTCGCGCTGCCTGTAATTACGCCGCGGGATATTCAGGGCACAGACCGTGATCACAAGATACCGCAAATAGATTTTTCGATTTTTCGATAATAGATTTTTCATGTGAACGCAGCCTAAGCCCTGCATTATATGTTAAGGACCAGGTATGTCAATTTCAGCCCTGCTTTATATATTTAAAACCAGTTATGTCCAATTGACCCCTTCTTTATCCATTTACAACCAATTAACCAATTATATCCATTTGTGAAGAAAAGGCTTATCCAGTAAAAATGTTAGAATTCACCCACATATGGAGTGATCAAACCATCATTCCATCAAGGCTTGGGATCAGGTGCCTATTAAAACCAAAAATACTTAGCCTCCTAAAATTGGATAGCCAGTGACACTTAGTCCACTTTGCAATGAGATAGCTTTTGAGAGAGGTTGGCCCACAACAAGTCTTTTACCTCTGCATCGATCACAATTTGCTTAAGAGCTTAGTTAAAAGTCAAAAGAAAAAAAAAATCAACATTTGAGATTAATGGTAAAAGGCAACATAGTTCCTTCAGTCTTAGATGATAGATTTTAGCCTTAAAACTGACGTTGGACTTTTGTAACATGAGTCCCTGACAGGAGCGGATCCAGAGCTATTTACTGACAGTCTTCCAAATTATCTTTGTTGATTCATCCTCCAATTTTGACCGTCTTCCAACAGAAAAAAATAGATATCATCAATGTAAACTTGAAAATCCGACCGTCTTCCGGAAGACCCAGAAGACGGCCTAAATCCGCCCCTGCCTGATGTTGTTCACAGTCTCCTAGGTTATTTCCAAGTATTTCCAAGTACAGAGAAGGTTCACACATTATATTTGACAACCTTAAGTTTCCAATACCTTGATTTGAAGAAAGACAACTGATTTGGTAGTTATGAATGCTTTGAAGGACTTTTTTCCCCCCTATCATTTGATGTTTGTTAAATGACTGATAATTTGGCGGAGAAAAAATGTAGAATTGTCCATGTATAGCCAGTAATTGGGTTTAAAATTTAAATAGGATTCATTTAGATTTGTCTGTATTTAAATACACTACATTTCAAATGAAAACTCGTAGAAAATGCAAAAAAAAATTTTGTGAGCCTTGTCTGTACAATATCGCAAAGTCAGACGACAATGGTCAAGAGCTCAAGAGAGTTTTGTGAACATGTTTTACAAAGTTTTAGACCAGAATGTTGCTATAGTTACAATCATGTGACATATGTTGTCATAGTAACATGATGAACAATCAGCCAATAGAAGTTGCTCAGTATACTGGAAGGTAGAGGATTCTGTTGAGACAATCCTCTTTTAATTTCAA